TATAGCGCAGACTCGGCATGAAGTGCGTCTGTGATAGCGTGGATCAATCATCCTTTGCGCTGTGTTTCCTCACGGTCACTATCACCCACCATCGTGAAAGGGAATCCGCAGGAGACGGCCTCCTCGCAAAGCCATCGCTGTGCTCGCGCATCACGCGACTCGGGGGGCTGAGTGGGGGTTGCACGGATCGGGCATGGGTGATGCGTCGATGAGAGGATGCTGGCGAGGCGTTTGGCAGCGATACGCGTCATCTGCGAGGAGGCTGACCGATGGAGGCGAGTTGATGTGAAAAGGCGGGAGAGTCTGCGAGAGAACGGGAATGTGACGAAGGACGCCCGGGAAGGCCGCCAATCGGACAGGGACGCAGACCCAGGATTGAACGACTGTCGCCATCGGAGGTCGCAGGAGGCGAGTGGAGCCAGCGTGGAGCTCTGTTGGCAGTCGAGGTGCGGGCAGACCGGCGCTTCATGTGCGATACCGGGCTGTCGCGTGTATGACGTCGCACATCTGGCGTCGGCGACCTGAGATGTGATCGGAAGGGAGGTGGCGCTGGCGCTGAGCCGTGCGAGCCCCGCCATCCTCCGACCCTTGCTGACTCTGCCTGCGACTCCTCCTCGCCTCTCCCAACGACGGCGACGCTGACATAACGGACACCGGCACCCTCTCTCAGTATCCGCCTATCAACATCTTCTATAACCAACCGCGCTGCGCCCAGGTCGGTCCTGCGCTCTCCGCTTCCGTCTTTGGCAGCCTCCTCGTCCTCCCTCAGCCATACGAACACATAGCATCCGAGCGCGGTCGTGTATTGTCTGCACAGGGGCGTGCAAATAGGTGCGTACACCCGATCACTATCTTCATTCTCCTCGATCGCGTGTTTCTGCACTTCTCCTTCTTGCGCCGCCTCGCCGTGGGTGCGTCCCTCCACTCGAGCCCATCGCGTGCGCCCCCACTGGTATCCATTTCATCCTGTCCATCGTCCCTTGGCCCCGCTTGTCATGACCGCACCCGTGCTATCTGGCCTTTCCGCTCCCGCGCCCTCCCGCGCACACCAGTGTGCGCCTACACGCCCTCTACACGTGTCTATGCTGGTGCTATGTCCGATCACCGTGGGGTGCTCAGCCAGCGACAGCGACGGGGATCACAGATCATACTGTATCCGCCCGTGGGCCTCTGCGCGTCCAGGCCGCGCGCGTCGACGCTGTCTGCGCCCTCCGTTCTCCGTCCACTGGCGTCACTATTCAGAGCCATCTCGTGCTCGTCTCTGCAGCCAGATGGCAGCCCCGCCTTACCTCTGCTCCCCTCGCCGTGCACGCAGGCCGCCGCAGTCCCGTCCAGCGCACGCACGGCACCCCGCGTCCCCGCGTCCCCGCGCCCACTCGGAGTCGCGAATTCGTCAGGGGCGACACTCCGCGCTTCTCGGGGTTCCTGCCGCAGCTCTATTCAGACGCTGCATCGCGGGCGCTCATTCTCACTGACCGTGTTTGCCCCGCAGGACGCAGGAGGCGCACGCGAATGCGACACGCGACACACCGCATCCTCCGCCGCGACCACCACACGCGCGCCGTTCGCAGTTTCTATCTCATCGGTATCTGTCCAGCGCACGACAGGGCCTGCCCGAGGCGCATCGGCATCCACCCCCAGCGCACCACACACCGCACATAGTTCCAGCACCGACCGTAAAGATGGTCACACCCTCCGGCCGCACATCACAGCCGTCCTCAGCCCGCCCGCCCTCCTCCATATCCACATCCACATCCACATCCTCAGCGCCCCCGCCCCCACCCCCATCCGCTGCGAAACCCACATCCCCATCCACACCCGCACCCCACGCACGCCCTGCCCCCCGCGCCCCCGCGCCCATCCAGACGCTCCCCGCCGAGCTCCTCGAGCACGTCCTCCTCCTCGCCGCCCCCGCGTCCCCCGCGGCCCCCGCGGCCCTCGCGCGCACCTGCCGCGCCTTCGCCGCGCTCGTCTACGCCGCCCCCGACCAGCACCTCTGGCGCGGGCTCTTCCTCCGCGCGTGGGACGACCCGCGCGCGCTGTCTGGCGAGGGCAGCGCTAGGAGCCGCGAGGGCGCAGGCGCAGGCGCAGGCATCGACTGGGGGCGCGAGTACCGGCGGCGCGTCGCGGCGCAGCGCTGGTTCGCGTCCGCGCGGGCGGACAGGGCGGGGGCGGGGACGATGGGCGCGCGCGACGTCGCGCGGGCGGCGGACGCGCTCGAGGCGCTCGTCGCGGCGCTGCTCGCGGCGCCGCCGTGCGCCGCGCGGGACCAGAACCACGACCACCATCACGACCAGGACCAGGACCAGGACCGCGGCGGAGAGAGGGAGAGGGGGGACGGGGCGGGATGGGGGCGCTCGCGTTCCAGCCGGGGGTGTTCATAGCGTACCCGGCGTACCCGGTGTTCCCGCCCGTTGTGGGGGAAG